GGGAGGTTAATTACAGGGCCAGGACAAGGGACCTGACCAGTGCAATCAGATAAATTATAAGGTGGACTGTGCCTGGCTTGGGAAACCAAAGGCCTCCTGTGCCTGAGAGCAGTCATTCTTTACCACACACCTGTGGGCTGAGTTTGCCTTGGCGCAGCTCCTCTGGGGCCCACGTCTCTGTGGGTTTCCCCTCTGTCTCCTGCAGTCTCCCTGGTTGACCCCAGTAGGCAGAGACTGTCTGATTCCCCTGTGTATCCTCTGAGTGCAGAGCACTGCCTCGCATGTTAGACACGCCAGAACGCCCGTGTCACGAATCCCTCCTGCACGTGGTAAAACCAAGGTCACCATGTAACCCTGTGATGTCGGAAATGAACCCTGGTTCGCGACTCTGGCGCTTCCTTTACCTAGATCTTCCGGTGAGGCTCTCAGAGATTCCGCGTGTGCTGAGCACTCTGCCTGGAGTAAAGGGAAGAGAGTGGAGGCCTTTGATGGTTTCCTTGCAAAGAGCTTCTGTGGCTCATGCTCTAAGAGCTTTGTAATGCTCCTAATGATTCATACATAAAATGTACAAATTCTCAGGTGCGTTGCCCTGTGCCCTTCCCTTTAGGGACCAGCGAGTATCTGTGAAAGTCTGGAAGTCTTGGCTTTCCTTCCAGCCTCCAGGCTTGGTGGGATGTGAAGGAAGGGTCACTGGTGCCCATCAGATCCTGGCAGGGTACAAATGGCACGCTCGAGGGGTGAAAGGAAGTGGGGGAGCTGACCAGGAGAGACAGCGCTCCCAGGAAGGAGGGCTTACAAGCCTTGCTTTGCAACCTGCAGAGGAGATTCTTGACATGAATTTTGGAGTCTCTGATGTGCCAGGCACTGTGCCTAGAGTGGGAGGCGGAAGGCGGGAGGTCTAAGGTAACCTTTTTTAGAGCTGCAGCTGTGGGCTAGGCCCCTGCAGGAGCTGGGGTGTCTGACCTCTCCAATCCTGCTGATGCCTCCCATTGACCAACCTCTACCAGCAGCCAGGGGCAGAGGGAGCCCCCTAATTTGATCTGCACAGTTCTGCCTCTCCGTGCGTACACTGAATGAGTTAGGGAAGGGGAGGGGTGAGTTTGCAGGGCCCCACGAGATCACCAAACCACTGTCTGGGCTGTGTGTATTGATCCATAATTGCACGTGTGGAGAGGAAGGCTTGGGGAGAGGCCTGTAGTCACACAGTCTGTCATTCAGACCCCGTCCCTGTGTGTGGCTCTCTTTAGCCCACCCTACTGAGAACCCTGCAAAGCTGGCCTGCACAGCTTCTGAGTCTAAAGCGGCCCCACAGAGACCACTTGTGGGACTCGCCCTTCGTCTTTCCACCCCAACACCTGCCCCACACTCCTGCACCCTTCCAGGGGCCTGTTCAGTGACACCCCAGCTGCTGTTTTCCTGGGTAGCAGGGCCTTGCTCTGCGGCTCCCAGTGATGAGTGCATTCATGGTGGCAGGTGTATTGGACGAGACTAAAGAGATCGGAACATTAGGTACAGTGTTTGAGAATGTACACGCTTGTGCTTCCGTTTTGATGGGCCCATTTAGAAAAGTCCCTGAACCTTGACACCAAGACCAAGTTTGATGTCTTCGAGGCTGCTCGTTTCAATATTTGTGATTCTGAAGAGCCTGATTTAGCAAGTTTCTCCCCATCTTCATCCCCTTGCTGGTTATGGCTCCTGTGTGCAAGGGAGTCTCTTCCTATTCATTTCCTTCCTGATTTAAATGATGGCAGTCACATCTGCATGACTGTCTTTATTTTTTATTATTATTTTATTTTTATTTGACAGAGTTAGACAGTGAGAGAGAGACAGAAAGGTCTTCCTTCCTTTGGTTCACCCCCCAAATGGCCGCTATGGCTGGAGATATGCCCATCCAAAGCCAGGAGCCAGGTGCCCCCCACCCTGGTCTCCCACACAGGCACAGGTGCCCAAGGACTTGGGCCATCCTTCACTGCCTTCCCGGGCCACAGCAGAGGGCTGGACTGGAAGAGGAGCAGCCGGGACTAGAACTCGGCACCCACATGGGGTGCCGGGGCTGCAGGTGGAGGATTAACCAAGTGAGCCACGGCACCGGCCCCTGCCTTACTGTCTTTCATCCTGAGTCCTAAGGAGACGCTTTCCAGAGATAAGTAAGGCGTCTTCATTGTAAGATAGGGAAGTTAGGCTGAGAAAAGGTAGGACCCAGAGGGTCTGGGCTTCCCCCCTGAGCTGCAATTGTTCTCCCGCACCCTCTTTCTTATTATTATTATAGAGCCTAACAACAGGTGCTCTTGACCTTCAGGGCAGGGTAATTTTATTGTGGGGCTGTCTTGTGCATCATAGCGTGGCTTCCACTCACTAGATGCCAGTAGTAACCCCAGCACCAAATGTGACAACCAATCACATCCCCAGACAGGACCAGTTGTTGTAAGGGTTGTGGGGAGGGAGGTGCATGCCCTGGCTAAGAACTGCCACGGGGCTGGCGTTGTGGCACAGTGAACGGGCTGACACCGGCAAGTTGACATCCCATGTCACAATGCTGGTTGAGGTCCTGGCTGCTCTGCTTCTGATCCAGCTGTCTGCTGGTGTGCCTGGGAAGGCAGCAGAGGGGGCCCTGCCACCCACATGGGAGACCTGGATGGAGCTTTGGACTCCTGTCTTCAGTCTACACTAACCCCAGGCATTCCTGTCATTTGGAGAATGTGGATGGAAGATCATCCCCTCTCACCTTCCCTCCCCCCATCCTCCCCTTGAAATAAATCGATAAATCTTAGAAAAAGCCTGCCTTTCAGGTCCTGGAAGTCAGAGATTGTGAGATCCTTGGTCTGAGCAAGGGCTGGAGAGCAGGATATGCTTCTGTTTTTAAACTCCTCGGGTGTCTTTGTTGTATCCCCAGGGTTGAGACTTCTTCCAGAATGCGCATCCCAGCTCTGTGAGCCTGTGTTTTCTGGTCTCTGATACGGCAGGGATAACACCGTACGTATCTCCTGTCACTGCGAGACTTAACATCTGGTGACCTCTATTAAGTGTTAAGCTCAGGTTCATAGTTCCCAGGTACGGGAGAGAGCGAGGAGGCTGCAGCTGTCCTCTGGGGTTGGGGATTGGCATTTCAGGTGTTCAGAGAGCCACGAGCAGAGTGAGTGAGGTGATGGTTGAGATGGGCAGGGGTGGAGGCCAGGTGTGGTGTGGCCGGCTGGTTGTGAAACACGGGCCTCTCCACGGAGGGTGAGAAGCAATGTGGCAGGCAGGTGACTATAGAGTTTACCAGGAAATGAGATCCCACGTGAAGCTGAGGTCTGGCGTCTGGCTGTGCATGATCAAGGTGAGGTGAAGGTCATTGTAGGTAAAGCAGACACGGGACCATTTGTTGGATGGATTCACCCTCTGTGGGTAAGCGTCCCATGGCGACATCAGCAGGGGGCGCTGAGGAGGGCCTGGGAACCAGCGTCATGGTCATGGCAGCTTGTGCGGAGTGGCCAGGATGTAGACTGTGTTTTGAAGTGGCTGAGCAGGATCCCCAGGGTCCTGAAGCCGCGGGAGCAAGGGCTGTGAGCAGTTCTGAGAAAGAACAGGCGTCTGGGGCACCTTCCCTTCCACGTCACTCTTCTGCACTGTTCCCGGGACAGAACATGGTGGCAGTGCATGTCAGGAAGCAAGGAGGGGTGTGCTTCTGTGGAAGGGACAGAATCAGCAGAGGTGGACTCTGCATGGGCTGAGAGGCCGGATGGCTTCCTCCCGAGAGGCCCTAGAGCGTTTCGTCGCTCCGTGCCTGCTGTAGAGAATGGCAAGTGTGTGGTGCAGGGAGTGAGTAGGAAAGGTGCTGGCAGAGGGCAGCCGAGCTCAGGGTGCCAGCCTTGCCTGGGAGCCTTTTATTAAAAAAGATGGATGGATGGATGGATAGATAGGTATGAAAGGCAGAGTGAGAGTGAGAGCCAGAGGAGGGGTAGTATCTTCCATCTGCTAGTTCACTCCCCAAATGGCAGGAACAGCCAAGGCTCTGCCAAGCCAAAGCCAGGAGCCTGGAACACCGTTCAGATCTTCTGTGTGGCTAACAGGACCCAAGCACTTGAGCCATCTTCTGCTGCTTTCCCTGGCATATTCGCAGGGAGCTGGATCAGAAGGAGCAGCCAGGACTTGAACCAGCGCTCCTGTGAGATACCACAGGCAGCAGCCTAGGCTGCTGTGCCACAGTGCTGGTCCATGCCTGGGAGCTTTGAGGGTGGGCAGAGTTGAGTATCTGTCACCTACAATCTACCCACAACACGTCAAGGTTCCAAGGCACCCATCTTTGGGAAGCTGTGATTGGGGTTGGGAGCTGCATTGTCCCCTCACTCCAGGAAGACGTGGGACACCCCCCCTTAAGTGGCAGGGAGTCTGCTGACCAGTAGCTGTCTCAGGGCCACTCGAGGCTAAAGGAGAGAGCCAGGGTTCATGTCTGGGGCGCATGCCCCTCAGTGCCTACATGAAGACCTGAGAGGGTCCCTCCAGTTCCTGCTGACTTTAGCTCTTTGGATGGTACCCATGGTGGGGTCCCCAGGTGTCCCTTGAACCCTTCAGCCCTGTTAAGAAGTGGACTCCAAGACACCCAATGAGAACCTTGAACAAAACCTCTGGGAGCCATGGCTGCCCATTCTGAGGTCCCTGACCGTGGCCCATCTTTGCGGGTGTGTTTCTTCTCGGAGATTGCCAGCTGTCATCCTCTGTCAGTTTGTGGGCAGGGGATTCACTGTTTGCCCATTTGAACCAATCGCCATTTTTCTCATCCCCAAAATGTAATTGAAAGAGCCTTAATGGCTTCCAAATGATGATGGCTCCATAAACCGATTAAAAAGGCCTCAATAAAACTGTCTCCAGTTATTTTCCATAGCTGCCGACTGTGCCCTTTGTTTTTTAATGATCCCGACGGGAAACAAGAGTGATTTTTCTTTCTGGTGTCCTCTGAAATCCCAGCCAGGGCTTCTTCCGTCTGTCTGACTCTTTGCCCTCTGCTCTTTCCCTCCCAGACCATCCACGTTGCTATCGTCTGTGCCGGATACAACGCCAGCCGTGACGTCGTCACCTTGGTCAAGTCCGTCCTGTTTCATCGGTAAGAGCGGTGCTGGTCCTCTGCAGGCTGACGGGTGTCTCTCAGTGCCTGTACTTTTCCTTGGGGAAGAGTTAAGCAGCAGCACAGTTGCTCAGCCATCCTTCTGACTGCTGCAAAAATGTAGCTTTTGTCCAAGACCCTGGGGAAGATTTTATTTATTTGAGAGGTAGAGTTACAGACAGTGAGAAGGAGAGACAGAGAGAGAAAGAGGTCTTCCATCTGCTGGTTCACTCCCCAAATGGCCGAAACAGCTGGAGCTGGGCCAATCCAAAGCCAGGAGCTTCTTTCAGGTCTCCCATGCAGGTGCAGGGGCCCAAGCACTTGGGCCATCTTCCACTGCTTTCCCAGGCCATAGCAGGGAGCTGGATTGGAAGTGGAGCAGCCAGGACTAGAACTGGCACCCATATGGGATGCTGGCGCTTTAGGCCAGGGCTTTAAGCCACTGCATCACAGTGCTGGCTCCTGTTTTTGTTTTTTGGGTTTTTTTGTTTGTTTTAGATTTATTTACTTATTTATTTGGAAGGTAGAGTGACAGAGAGGGAGATACAGAATGAGAGTAAGAACTTCAATCTGCTGGTTCACTCCCCAGTTCTCACAACTGACAGGGATAGCCAGGAGGCTGGAACTCCATCCAGATCTCCGATGTGGGTAGCGGGAGCAGAAGAACTTGGGCTTTTATCTGCTGCTTCCCAGATAGATGCATTATCAAGAAACTGGATTGGAAGCATGGAGTAGCCAGGACTTGAAGCGGCTCCTCTGATGTGGGGTATGGGCACCCCAAGCAGTGACTTGACCTGGTGCACCACAACACCTGTCCCTGATAACAGTGTTCAGTAACAGCAATTAGGTGTTGTCTTGCCTTGTTTAGAATTGTAGCTCTCATACCCAAAGGGACCTTCAAGTGCATCCTAATTCTGGAGCTTGCGTTTCTGCCTCAGCTTCCTTGCCGGGTACTCACCTAACCTGCCTGTTAGCAGGTGGAACTGTGTCCCTGTAAAAATGGCTGAGTTAGAGCCGGCGCCGTGGCTCAATAGGCTAATCCTCCACCTTGCGGCGCCGGCACACCGGGTTCTAGTCCCGGTTGGGGCGCCGGATTCTGTCCCGGTTGCCCCTCTTCCAGGCCAGCTCTCTGCTATGGCCAGGGAGTGCAGTGGAGGATGGCCCAGGTGCTTGGGCCCTGCACCCCATGGGAGACCAGGAAAAAGCACCTGGCTCCTGGCTCCTGCCAGGATCAGCGCGGTGCGCCGGCTGCAGCGGCGGCCATTGGAGGGTGAACCAACGGCAAAGGAAGACCTTTCTCTCTCTGTCTCTCTCTCTCACTGTCCACTCTGCCTGTCAAAAAGAAAGAAAAAAAAAAAAAAAATGGCTGAGTTAAAGCCCTGACCCCTGGTTCTTCAGAATGTGGTTGTCTCTGCAGAGAGGATGCTTACAGAGATGATCAAAATTAAAATACAGTCGCTGGTGTGGTCCCTACTTAACTATTTGCAGAGCCAGACGTGGAAGCGGGGAGGACCCTGTGTGCACGCACAGAGACTGGCCAGCCCCTGCCAGCCGCTGAGAGAGGCCTCCCCAGTGCTCAGACGTTGACCCTCCAGAGCTGTGGGAAAATGGGTTTCTTGTTAAACCGCCCGCCCTGGTGTTTTTCCTGAACAGCCCAGCCGTCTAGTGCAGGTGGCTTACTCTGTTTTGGTGTTGCCTGTTCCACTTTTAAACAGTTGGTGATCGATGAAAAAAATCCTGCTTTATGTTAAATTGCGTTTCCCAAACCCAGAGGATCCCATGGCCCTGGTGGATCCCACCCGACCCCTTGAACCAGTCATTCACAGTGTTGGTTCCTCAGCCTCCTGGAATGGATCTTCCACTGAGGAATTGTGTCTTCTCCAAGTTAAGCTCCTGTTCTCTCGAGGGACTTGCCTTCTCTCCCCTCACTGTTTTGATTGATTGATTGGTATCTGTAAATAGTCAGGGTCGTGTGCAGATTGGAATGCCCTTGGCTGCACTATAGCATTGCCACCATAGGTTTGCATGAAACGTACCCACACCATAGCCAACAGTGTGGAACTGTATCGAGAGGTCTAGTGAGGATCCAGAGAGTCCCTGGCAGCCGGAGCAGTCATGAGACGCTCTCAGTGTTCACTCGAACGGAGATGAATGTCAAGTTCTACACCCGAGTATAGCTACCACTGTTGTAAAAGGAGAGAATTAGTGGACCCCCAAGACCTACTTTCTGTGCAAGAACCAGGTTCATCCTGGATTCTGCCTTCTCTCTCAGCCCCCAGGTGGCTATCTTTAAGCTATGCCTTGATGTCTTCCCTCTTCAGTGTTTCTCAGTTCTTTCTTTTCTTCCCCATCCCTACTGTGACTGGCGTGGTCCAGGTCTCCCTGTTCTCTCATCTGCGTGAGTCCTTCCTGCCTCCCCACTTTCTGCTTCTCCAGGAGCCCAGAATGATATTTCAGATGGGCAGATATGATCTCCTAAAACCTTTCTGTGGCTTCATCTCTTCAACAGGAAGAAATCTGGGCTGGCGCTGTAGAGTAGCAGGCTAAGCCACAAGCTGTTATGCCAGCATCCTGTATCAGAGTGCTGCTTTGAGTCCTGCTGCTCCACCTCTGATCCAGCTCCCTGCTAATGCATCCAGGAAGGCCATGGTGCTTTGCCACCTGTGTGGGAGACATGGGTAGGGTTTGGGCTCCTGACTTTGGCCTGGCCTAGCCCCAGGCATTGCAGCCATTGGAGGGGGTGAACCAGCGGATCGAAGATGTCTCACTCTGTCTTTCATGCTGTTTCAAACAAATAAGTAGATAGATAGGTCTTTTTAGGAGAGGTGAGAGAGAAGAGGAGTCAACCTCTCTGCTATGGCACATGGACCACTGGGGTCTGGCATCATTCCCAGAGTTCTCTGCCTCTCCTGGCTCTGACTTCACGTTCCAGCATGTGTGCCCTGCCTCTGCTCCCCACCATCTCCATGCTGCGTCCTGCCCGTTCCGTCTCATCACACTTCTCCATCTGCCCATTCTCCCTACCTTCTCCTCTGCCATCCCCAAACTGGGCTGCTTCCTCTTATCCTTTTAAGACTTCACAGAGATTATTTGCTAGCAGGTAGCCCACTTGTCACCCTCAGGCTGATTTAGGGCTCCTCTGCTACCACTATGCCCTGTGCATTGGCTCTGTCATTATATTTATTGTATATCTGTGATATGTGTACTGCAGCAGAATGTGGGTCCTCTAGGGACAGAAGCCATTGCTGTTATCCTGTATCCCTGGGACTGTCTGCAAAGTAGCTGTCATGTATTACGTGCTCAGCAAATGCTTGCTTGTTTAGCCAGGGAATGTGGGGTGTTGATGAATAAAGAGACTAGAGATAAATCTATTCATCCAGTTACCTTATATATCCAGCCCGCGTCTACTTCAGGTTCATGTTCATGCCACTGTCTAGCCAAGTGTGTTTCGGCACGTCTTCCTCGATCTTCAGATTTCACTTTCGGTGTCAGATAGCTTTTGCTGTGAACCAGTTCATCGGCACGCGTACTTGGTCTAAACCATTCACGTATTATCTCAGTTGTTTCTGTTGAACTCACTCGTATGGCTCTCATGCTGGGTCCCCTTGCGTGCTGTCGTCAGCCGGCAGGTTAGCCGGATGACGGGTGCTCTGCCCTCCTGGAGTGGGGTTAGGGGGTATGGAAGTGAGCAAGTGGCACTTGGCAAGGGGGGCTGCTCCTTCTGCCCCGTGCATCTATCTGGTTGGTACTCTGACTTTATGTGTTCGTCCGAGGAGGGAATGGCAGTGGCCACGGTGGGGCTCAGCCCCGTGTCTTCGTCGCCAGGTGAGATGCCTTAGCTGCTGTGTGGCCTTGGAGACTCCTGGGGGCTCCACAGGCCTCACTCGATGCTGGCAGCCAGGTCTTCTGTAGCCTAAACGTGGAACTAACTGAGTGTTTCTCAGACTTCCATGTGTATATTGCTTGTCTTCTTTAAAGAACTCAAGTCCCTCCCTGAATCCAAAAGCCCACTTTTTAGCAAAGGATATTTGCGTGATTGTAGATATTGAATTATGCTATTTCTCAATTATGGCAAATTTTAAGGGCATAAAAACTTCTGGTGTTGTGTTGGCTGTAAATATGATTCCTGTTGCTTTAGCTACAAATCACCTAATCCGGTCGTTGTTGAAACTGCAAGAATCCTGTTGAGTGTAAACTTTCACTCCTACACTGACTGCACAGCACAAAGATGCTGCATTCAGAAAGGAAACCGTGGTGCCTTAGTTGCTGATGGCATGGCACACTCTCCTGGTGGCGAGGGTCCGTGGGAAGAAAGCAAGCTCTTTGTTTTAAGCATATTCTGCATCCCATGTCAATTACAACTTGATCCTCTTGGACCAAATGACCACTGAAGTCCCTCCCAGCCCTGAAGTTGTAAGAGTTAGGATTTTGTGAATTGACATGTGGGGGAATAACGAGTTGAGATATCAAGACAAAAGGACTTTTGAAAGACTCTGAGCTCAGAAAGTCCGGCTATAAATAGCTCCATTGCCTCCCAGGCACATTAAGGGGATTAACTAAAACATGATTATAAAATACTTTGACAAATGGAGTACCTTCCCAATGTTCATAATAATAATATAATAATAGTGGTGCAGGGTGCTTCTTTTGCTGTTCACTGTTAATTACAGTAATTAGATTTATTTTCCAGACAAGATTTTCAGCAAATTTTCATCTAAGGCTTGCCTTGTTACATCAAATCAGTTTTACTTCTGCAGTATGCTTGGTGACAGTGAACATACTGCATTTTAAAAGATAGTGAAATAGTGATGTGTCCATTCTTGTATCCTGGTGTAGGCTCTGAAAATTGCTGTAACCTTTTGCAAGGAAATTCAATAATATTGTGCCAAAATCCTTGACCCATTCACAATCACTTTAGAGACTTTTCTCCCAAAAGCATGTCCCTCACTGTAGAAAACTTTTTATGAAATACTACTTATAATCACAAAATTGGGTAATAG